TTGGGTGGGCGGAGAAAGGGGACAACTTTTTGTATGAAGGCCCCGGGGGGGGGGGGGTGTAGGAGTGGCGGGGTTCAAGGTGTTATCTACATTCAATTAAGCCCTGAAAGGAACCCCCAGCCCTGCAGATAAAGGGATTCAGAAATCATTAGTATCCCCTCCCTCCTTCACCAGTTCCTCTCTACTGGGAGAGCTGTGAAGGCTTGGAGCATCATTCCTGCAGGGTGAGGTCACTGGGTCTGCTTTGTGGCTGCCAGCTCTTCATTTATCCCTGGGCTTTTGCAGCTGTCTCCCTGGCACCAAGTATCGAAAAGGGGCACATGTGGATTAGGCAGGTTCTGGATCAGCTCCGGGAAAGCGCAGGCCAGCTGGGCTCCCTGGCTGGACTGTGGGGGCCGCTTTGTCACTTAACCCCCATGGCATCCATGCTTCGGCTTGTTCTTGGAAATGCTGTTCTGGATAGAAGCCCTTTCTGAGAGGCAGGAGGCAGTCTGCCCACCACCCTCTAATGCCATCATGTGCTTGCTACTAGGACTCCCTGGAAACACGGCTCCGAAACCTGGAGATAAGCGCCTTGCTGGGCGAGCGGGTTACAATTTGCCAAGCCATGCTATCTTGGTATAACACAGGGGTGGGCAATTATTTTGGGCAGAGGGCCGCTTACTGAGTTTTGGCAAGCCATTGAGGGCCGCGTGAGAGGCAGCCCGGGGCAGATTAATATTAATTTTCTAAATTTTTTTAGGGGCCCCGCAGGCTGGATAGAACGGCCCGGCGGGCTGCATCCAGCCCCTGGGCTGCATTTTGCCCACCCCTGGCATAACATAAGGCAGATTTTCCTTCCTTCCTCATGCATCTTTTACAGGACCGGGGCATGGATGTTCCAGGGAACAAACCTGTATCCCTGTCTGATTGCCACTGGTTGAATGCCCCGGCAGCTTATTATTCACTCTTACAATTGGGGGCCTGGGAAGTGTGGGAAGGTGGGCTGCTGTTCCAAATAAAAGCCCTGGTCTGTCTCTAGGGGTGGCACCAGACAGCCCAGATATCTCCTTTGCAGAATGCTTCTCAGGGGATGTGTCTACATGAGATGTTTACTGAGGGACTGACTAATTAGCTTCACAGTAAACATCTCAGTGTCTACACGTGCACCTCTGTTAGGGTGCAGGAAATGAATTCATTCCACAGCAGGATAGTATTTGTAAATACAAATACTTTAGTACTATCTTGCTGTGAAGTTTTTTTTGTGTGCAGCAGTGCATGTGCAGCAGTGGGGCACAAGGGTACCCCCATGCCCCAGCCAGCCCCTCCACAGCACGCAGAGCCCTGTCAGAGCAGTGGATCCCCCAGGCTCCCTGCCAACCAGAGCAGCTCTCTCCTGGCTCAATGTGCTGTGGTCTGGACCCATGTAAACAGTGCACCTGGGAGCTTTCTGGGAGCAACAAACTTCGGAGCAATCAGCTCCGGAGTTTATTTCTGCACATTAATGACATGTTTAGACATGCTCAGAGACTGCAAGCAGCCAATGCTATTCAGACTGCTTTACTCCCTGCTAGAGCACGATCGGATGCTACAGCGATGGGCGCAGCAGCGTAAGAGCCTGAACAGGATGGCCTGCAAACTTCAGGTGCCAGGGCATTGCACAAGAGAGGAATTTCCATTTACCTGGTTCTCAGGGGATGATGCAAGCAATTGCTAAACCCCTCCCTGACATCAGCCTCTCCAGAGCTCTGAGTTTCTCCCTTTATTTTAAGGACGAGGCACTGACAGGAGCTCACCACGGAGTGCATCACAACTGCCTTTGCAGAGAGCAGCCCTGGCCCTCTGTACTAGGCAACTGCTGATAGATCCTTTGACCACCCAAATTCCTCCACATGCCGTTTTTGTCCAAATTCATTGCCAGGCGTGAACAGGAGGGCCCTTGATGACTGACGCGCTTTCTGCTCTTGGTACAATCTCAGTCATTACCAAGTTGTGTGCAGGTAATGCACCAAAGACCTGCCTCTGGTCCAGCTTTTGAGGATGTGCTTCTCAGTAGGAGAATGACTGTGGCTAGCTGGAGCCTGGCTTGTGACTTCCAGAGGCCTCTGATCCCCTCAGCTTGCTACACAAGTCCCCGTGTGTGTCTTGGGCACGGGCTGGAGGGCTAGGAGATGCACATGAGGAGGGAATTTCCCCATAAAGTGACCCTGAGGAGTTTAGAGGAGCTGAAGCCGCAGTGACCCAGCCTGGGTATGTCAGGGTTTGAGCCTAATAAACACGAAATCCTATATCCAGATAGCAGCTGTAAACAGCTCCGGCTGGAGAGGGGAATGTGATTGATCAGCTGGGAGTGCTAAGACTGGGGAGACCTGAACAGAGGGAAACCGAAGGCAGCTTTTGCACAGACTTGTCCAAATTAAAACCACCGGGCTCCGCACGGTTCTGGTGGCTTCTGCTGATGCCTGTGTCAATCAATAGGGCCAGCAGAAGGGCAGCTGAGAAGTTGGGGGATCTCAGATGTAACACTTATTCCTCCCAAACAACCAGACGCTCCTCGTCTAGTTTAAAATATCCTTCTGTACAGGGAGGGACACCTCCCAGCCTGTCCAGAACAGCGGTAATAAAATCCCAGCTCCCCAGCTGGCATGGAGACCTAGCAAACAAACAAGGGACCCGGGGCTCCTCTTTAAAGACAGGTGGCTCGGCTGATGCCTCTGGCAGGTAGAGAGGCTTTCAGGGCCTCATCTGTTATTGCTGCTGTTGTTACAGAACATCACGGCCCAGGACAATCAAAAGGAAAACTTGGACCAACGATTTCCCAGCCTGTTCAAGAAAGGGCGGAGGAAGACGGTCGTGAGGAACCTGGGACAGATCATTTATTACTCCAAGGTCAAATTCAAATTCCAGCACTGCCAGGTGAGCTTTGGTGCATCATCCAGGCATCCGGAGGGCAACTGCCCACTTCTCCCTTGGCTGCACACGTTGTTGCTGCAGCAGGTACTTGTCTGTCTGGCAGGTTATCTTACTCTCCTGCTGGGGTGGTCAAACAGGGGGAAGCAGGATTAAGTCTGTGTTTTGCAGGGCTCATTTGGGAAGCTTGGAGAGGCAGTGGCTGAGGGTAGAGGCTGTCTCTTCAAGACCACGGGGCCCCAAAGCTCATCCCTATGGGACAGCACTTCTGGAATCTCCCTTGAGAATATTCAAGGGCCCGGGTCTGCCGACTGTGGTCTCCCCTGATTCAGACATAGGATATGCTGGCCCCAAGAAGGGTGTCTTTTCTTCTCTCTCGTGTGAGCTGGAGGAGTGTTTGGGTCCCAGACCGCGTGCTGAGGCTCCCTTTGCACCTGTCTTCATCAGATCAGGGGATTTGGCTTTGCATTTGTATTTGGCAGCTGTGCCTGGAGACAGAACAGTTTTTCCTTTGGCCCCTGATTACACGTTTTCCTGGCTTCTGAGCTGGCAGACCCTGGGGCCCTGGATGGACGGACTGTGCTGCCCTGCCTGGGGTGCATAACAGAGTGAAGCTAGGGGATCAAGTCTTCCCTGGGACCAACTTCAAGCTGTCTCTGTCTTGCAGGAGGTGAACGATTGCTACTTGGAGCTGTTCCAGTCCTACCTGTACTTTCAGTCCGTCGGCTCCAATGGACTGACTTATCAGGTGAGGGATCTTTCTGTTCCCATGACACAAAGTAGTGGGAATTGGTGGAGGAGCAGCATGGTCTAATGGTCAGGTCGCTGGGCCTGGCTTCTGTACCTGGGCCCACTGCCAAACTGCTCTGTGACCTCAAGGGATTCACCCCCTGCCCTCTGTCTCTGTCCTGCCTCCCCACTTGGCCCCTCTTCTTGTCCACGTAGAAGGCAGGTCCCTTGGGCAGGGGCTGTCTTGTGGTAGCTACTGCTCTGATAAAGCTTCAGGACCTCGGTGTCCAGCCGTAAGACAAATCAGTGATGATAGGCCAGGGTCTTAGGAAGGCCAAGTGCTGGCAGGCCTCCATGGAAGCTGTCTGTTCTCAGCACTTTCGAAACTCAAGCCACTTAATTTGGTTGCCTGAATATGGGTTTAGGAGCTGAACTTGAGGCTCTTGGTTTGGGTGTGAACTCCACGGTGCTTCTCTTCATGGAAGGAGGAGAGTGTGGAGGAGGAAAGGAGATGATTCCTGAGGACACCCATGCCCCATGGTCATGACAAACTGTTTCGTCATCTTTTGGCAGGGAGCTGCTACTGGATGAAAAAAAAAAAAAGTGTGTTTTATACATCTGTCCATCCGTCCATGCATCTGTCCTTCTGTCCATCAGTCTGTCTATGCATCCGCATGTCCTTAAAAAGAAAGCACTTTCCTTTGATGAATGGGGAAACACAGTTGTGCCAGGGGGGTTGGAAGATATTGGTAGAAGACATTCCTTTTAGAAATGATTTACTGTCTTCTGGGTGACTCGCGGTTAATGGGTTTTGACAGCGCAGCCTCCTGAGTCACTGAACAAACTGAGCTTCAAGCGGAAAGACACACTGTGAAGATTTAGACCGTGTTTAAAGAGCTCTTGTCCGACTTCCTAACAGCCCCTTAGCCTATCAGTGCTAAAGAGTTATAAAAAGGGGACTGCACCTGTACTGGCACCAAGGTCCTACAACTGAATAGTTCTCCGTAAGGATTTGGTTTAGAGAGGGCTTTCATCATAGCATCAGGGCCAGGATGCCCAGGCAAGGCAGCTCACACTTGTCACCATTTTGCTGTTTCTTTCCACTTTGCGCTTAGTTTACACTTTACACTTTCCCTTTCTGTTTGTAACCAGTTTCACTTTTTGGTTCTTTTAAACTGTTCCTGCCCTGCTTGGTCTGGGTGCCCGCCCATGGCAGGAAGCATTGAACACATCACCTTACTTGTGGCAGGCGCTAAAGGCAAAGGTGGAAATGTTGGGGCAGTTGAGCCAATGGGAATTGCCCATAAACAGGGTATTTATTACCCACAGGTTCCTGTCTAAGGCATGACGTGTTAGTTCAATGCAAAGAAGACCCACGCCCATTTGCAGTAGTGTTTTGCAAACGGACCTTCTGAGACAAACAGCCTGGTAGTCCGTGTTTGTTTCAGATTCCCTCTGGAGAGGGGATGTTGGTGATAGAAAGGGACTGAACCTGCTCTAACGGGTGTTTTGCTTCTGCAGGGGCTGCTGCCACTAAAAGAGCTGAGTGTGCTTGAAATTGGAAACGCAAAGAGCGCAGGGCAGGAGGAACATGCCTTCCAGATTACAGGTGAATGACTCTCGGTGCGCTCCAGCTCCATTAGAGATGTGATTCTGGTACCTCGTGGAGGAAGCAGGGTCTAGTGATCCCTGGTCGGATGTGCACTCTTTTCCCAGCTCTGCGACAGAGTTCTTTTAGTTCAGGCCCGTTGCCTCAGTCTTCCCCATCTGTGAAATGGGGATAAGAGCATTCCCTTCCTTCCCTGCCTCGGATGTGTCTGCACAGCATGTGGCACAAATGGACACCTGACTACTCCTCTGGCAGAAATAGCTCTTGTGTCTAATAAGGACAAATGTTCTTTATCCTCAGCTGGTAACATCAGAATGGCAGGAGCACACCTGGACATCAGGAAATCAATGCTGCCTTGCTGCTCCTCTTCCTGTCCCCTGGCCTCACTACCTTTATTTTTGCTCTGAGTCATCTCACAACACTAAACCCTTCCTGGGGTAACAACCTGTCTGTGCAGCATCAGGCTTAGTCATGGCTGGATTACGGCAATCCTGAGCCACTGAGAGCAGTAGTTAAAGCATGAGCTAGACAGAGGTCAGTCAACCGCATAGAGATAGGGAGCTGCCAAAGCTTGCTGGCCTATTGCTCTGGGTATCTATGTGCTCCCATGCCCTGAGCTCGAAAACGAGTTGATTCCCAGCTATGCAGTGAAACGGAAGTCCTTGTAAGACACAGCCTGACGAACGACAGGCGGTGCCGAGAGAGAGCTGGGTTGCGACCACATTCCAGGCCTGATCCCATAATACCCCCGACCAGATCCGTGCAGGGCTGGGATCTGTGCTCACACCCATCTTAGCAGCCGGGTGCAGGGAAGGGTGGACTGGTTCTGCCTGATTTCTAATGCACGTGAGCATTGTGGATTGGAAAATGAGACTCGGGCATTTCTGGGTTTTGGTCGTAGTTAGGGAAGAGGGGTTATAAAGCACCAGAAACGAGAGACATTCAGGGCTGGGTCAGGCCTTTCTCTAGATTAGTCTGGGCCCCTTTGAAAGTGGATTAAGATGATTCAGAGTAAGACTTGTGTGTTCCAGAGTAAGAGTCCATGTCAGAAAAGCTTTGGTGCTTATGGTTCTTACTGAGCCTTAATCCAAATGTGCAGACACAAGCCCCAAAGCTCAGAGGTAGAGTCCTGACCATGCCCAGTTATACTTCAGGGCTGACCTGGCTTGAAGACAGGCCAGCAGAGAGACAGCTTATAAAGGGACTCTTCTCTCCCTGATCTGGAGCACGGCAGTTCTTCCACCAGCAAGCCACGTTTATATGACTTGTTAAACTCACCTGGCTCTTGGAGAGAGGCTGGAACATGTGCACAACTGTCTGGGAAGGGCTCATCCCTTCTAGTGTGCCTGAGAAATAGCTCACATGACATGTAAGCCATGCGATGGGGTCATAGCCTGTGGCTCAAGGTCACTTGTATGGTAAGCTGTCTTGCCCAAGCCTCGGTGCTCAGGTAGAAATGCACGCAAGTGCTATTAACCCCATTTTAAAGATGGGTAGACTGAGGCACAGAGCAGGAAAGTGACTTAACTCAGGTCATTGCAGAAAGCCGATGGCAGGAAACCCAACCTAGGTCTCCTCGGTTGAAAGCCATCTCCCAGCTTGACGTGCTAAGTTCTGTCCCCTCCCCTGTCTCACTATGTGACATTATTAATGCTACCATTGGGTGTGTCGGTCAGACAGTGATTGTGGCTGTACTGCAGTAGGCGCTATGTAAACATACAACAAGAAGCAGTCACTGCCTTACAGTGCATATGATCTAAGGAGCATATAATATGAGTGCCATGTGCCTCAGTTTCACCACTTCTACAATGGACATAACAACACTATCCTGCTTTGCAAGGCTTGTAATTGATACCCATAAAACACACTGAGATCCTTAGATGAAAGACCCTGCCAGAGGGCAAAGTTTCATTGGGGTAATATTTCTTTATTATGACAGCATATTGCACACTCACTTATCTCAGCAATCCTAAAGATCACAAAAGCCACAATCAGAGATCTTTATTTAAAGTGCATCTAATACAGTTTTAATGATGCATCTAGTAAATTATTAATCATAGCATAGGCCAGGCCACTGTCTAGAACCTGGTTATTGACGTCACTCGGATAACATGGAGCTGACTGGTTAGGGGCGTGAGAGAATTTGATGTTCACACTAGCAAACAAACGGAGCTAAAAATATTAGAATCAACAGTGGGTGTGACCATGTCTTCCATCAAGTAGTAATAAACGGCCTGGCACAGATTTTATCCGGTAAAGGATTCAGACAGTAGCTTTGCAGAACCACCAGAAGGTCCGTGCACTTCCGGCAGCAGTCAAGAGGGGAGACACTAATGAAACTGTTTAAAAACTGCAAATAACAGCGGTGAATTTGTCAAATGTTTAGAAGGCAAAGAACACATTTTATTTGGTGGGTGCAAAGTTGTGTTTGCCTTAATGGGAATTTGAGAAGCCAACATTTATGACGGGGGCTAAAAAAATGTAACAATGAGCAGTAAATGGTTGCCCTGATGGAGAAATTTGCTATGGCCTTTCCTACAGGAGCAATGTCATATTTAAAAACGTGCAGTGTTTTTGTAGGTGGCTTTGACAGGACCGTGCCCCAGGGGTGGCTGTGATGCCCCTTGGCGGCCATGTGGCTCCTGCCCCACTCAGCTCCCTGGGGTGCCCTCCTTTTTCCTTTTGTCTGCTATGCCTTGATGAGATTATTTTGTGTTGTAGAAGAGAGGCTGCCCCAGGGTCCCTGGCTGAGCCCGCGCCTGCTTTGGCCAGTGCATGCCTCCTGTACCCAGCTGACCTCCAGCTTACCCTAGATCCATGGACCAACTTGTATGGGCTTCAGCTTTCTTAGCTTTAGCCCACTGGTTACTCTAGCTGTTGAGTGCCAGCCTAGGCCCACTTCTGAGTCAGGCTGATCTGGCCCTTGGTCCATCTTGCTCTGCTTGGGCCCTTGGCCCTTCCCATTCTGTTTTGGCCCTCTTAGCTGGAGCCTGATGGGGCTGAAAATCTGGAGTGCCTCTCAGGCACCCCTGTGTGACCCTCTTCAGTCACTTGGTGGTCTATAACAAAGGTAGCAAAAATTTAAGCACCTGCTTTTAACTCCAAGTCCCCCCTCTGGGTCATCATCATACCACTGCCAAGCCACCTTCCCACTCTCCAGCTCTCTGCATCCTGGGAGCACCTGCCATGACCTGCAGCTCCCACGCCCCACCAGCCTGAACATAACTACACACAGGCCTGGAGAATCCCCATCTAGAAATCACTATCAGTACAACTTTGGGTTTGTGATCTTTGCTAACACAAGCTCCTTTGCCTGCAGCCTGTGGGCTCTGACTGCCGCTAGGGTTCAGGCCCTGGGTTTATATACCTGCAAGCCCTGCCCCCTTTGTCATGTGACTCTCCAATCAAACACAGGATTTTAATGCAGGGCCAGCCTGTGCTCCTGCTGTTGCAGCCCCATGCAGCCAGCCCAGCCAGCTGCCTTCCCCCGAGTCCCTGTTCTAGCGGGTAAATGTGAATATTAACTGCTGGACACTTCCCGATTGATTGTCTTTCTTATAGTTTGGACTGTAAAAATAGCCTCTCCCTGTGATTTCTAATCAGTCTTACTAGGACAAGTCTGGGATCTTTGGATTGTAGGGGAGCCTGTAACAACTCTGGGGACTGAAAAAAGTGATATATTTCTGGCTATGTTAAGTGTCCAACAGGGTGAGTTTGGGCATAATGAATTGGAGCTCATGGTAGAGGCGATATCTGTTATTAGACCAACAAGATTTTTGCAAAAAAAAATTCTTTTTGCATAGCTACATTTTAGCCTGGTGCCATGCTGATGTTGCTACACACAGGCCTGGAGAATCCCGACCTATAAATTACTGTCAGTACAACTTTTTCTCCCAGTAAGCTGATAACATTTGGCCAATGGCATACAAGAGAGAAGCAGTACATCATCAAAACAATGTCGCTTATTGGCTGAACACTATTGCCTAACTCAGGTAGCTCCTGGATTAACCCTTTGGCGCTGGAGGTCGTGCATTCCCCTATGTGTTCAGCTCATCCTCTGTCTTGCACCTGCAGGGCCTCTTCTGAACCCCATTGTGGTGTACTGCTCCAGTGAGTCGGAGATGAAGCACTGGCTTTATCACCTGGAGAAACAGATCCACCTCAATGGAGGAAGCCTCCAGCTGCCCTTTCAGTCCCAGGTCAGTGGCTTGGGCCAGGTTGATCTGGCTACAAACAGGATGAGCTTGGGAGGTTGCATGCGGGGGGTTTAAACAATGTTCGAGGTAACAGTGATTTTCCTCCTGCAGTGATTAAAGAGCACAGAGCTGGGGCAGGGATCGAGAGGCTTCTGACTCTATACCTGTGACCAGCAGACACTTGCCCCCCTTACTTAGCTCAGCCCAGAACTGGTGTCTATCCTGAGACTAGGGATAGAGGCTGAGGCCCGGGCCCCCTCTGCTCCCACTTGCATGCTGGATCACTTTTGCCTGAACCTACTGCCTTGAGCATGGCCATCCCTTAAACCCAGCTCTGCCTTGGCCCCACTTCCAGGCACATTTGCAGCCCATCTTCCTCCTTGCCCTAGAATCCCCTGTCACCATGGGCCAGTGGTTTATTCCCCCTATACTGATAGCTGTGTGGGTTAAAGCAGCTTTAGCCAAGACACGAGTCTGGGAACAAGAGCATGTCCCACCCCCTTCCCCAACACAGCTGATAGTGAGCAGGCCCCTTGGCTGACATGAAGCACAAATAGCAAATGGTGTGATGCAGGGACTTTGCTCGGGGCAGCCCCTTCTGGGCATTCAGGCCCCTTCTGGACCTGGCTTAGTGACTGACAGGTGATAATATTTGGCCCCCTGTAAGACCTCGCAGCCCCTGAGGACATCATGGCCCCTTGCAGACACTGAATTCACCCATGCAGCTCCCTTATGAGACAGGTGATTATCCTCCCTGTTTTGCACAGGGGTAAACTGAGGCACTGGGAGGCTGGGGCAACTTTGCTGAGGTCACATAGGAAGTCAGTGGCAGAGCCAGGCATGGATCCCAGGAGTCCCTTGCCCTAACCAACATGAAAGCACGGCCAGCCATGGGGAATCATAGGAGACGGGGGTGAGCAGCACTACTGCAGTCTGGTTCCTTTCCACTTTCAAGGGGAGCTTTGCCCGTCAGATCAGGGCACAGCTGCACTCACAGCCAGACATCAGATGCCCACGGGAGATAAAATGCCTACTGCAGACTGGCAGGTGCTAGAAAGCCATCCCTCCCATCAGCGGGCTCTGCAAAGGCCCATAAACTTCCCATGTACTACCTGCCCCTCCTCCTGGCACGCCCTTTGTCTGCTCCCAGCATGAATCAAGGGCTGGCAGTGTCTGGCAGGAGGGATCTGAGAGGCCAGGTGCTCACAGTTTCCAGTCTGCCTTTCCCCAGCTGAGCCTGCCTGAATCATGTTCAGCCAGCAATGCTGAAGGAGCAGGGCAGCTCCTGCTACCTGGGTCAGACGGGGAAATAGCCGCCAGCCGTGGCCCTGCCAAGAGCCCCGCGGGCTGTGCTCTCAGTCAGGGCTTGCTGCGGGCCATGATTGTACTAGGCAGGGCCTATCCCTGTTGTGCGAGGCAGCTTTGGGGCTGCACGTGGATGTTCACACCATCAGCTCTGCTTCTGGTAGGGCCTTTTATGTCTCTGTGCTAATTCTGGCTGTGTTATTACCCCCTTTTTTATAACACACAGCCGATGGGGAGAAGGAACAAAGGGCAATTTTACACTTGCTCCAGGGGTGGTGCTTTAATTAGAGTGGCTCCAAGAGTTGCTGTAATTAAAGCTCCTCTATGTCTCCTGTATCAGCATCCCCGCACTTAAAAATGGTGGGGGGGGTGCTTGAACTAAAACTTGTTCGAGGACCTTTAGTTCAAGTGCTCCTACTGCCATTTTGAAGCATGGGGATGCTGATACACGAGGCAGGAGGCTGTTGGAGCCTGGCAATTGCCATGGTCTAGCAGACTCGATTAATGGAGTCTGCTCCGACATGCTGGACTTCCAGCCGTGGCGCTTGTGCACAGATGCCCAAAGAGCTGAAGGGACTTACCTAAGCTCATACAACGAAGCAGCGGAGGGGCTGGGAAGAAAACCCAGAGTCCTGCTTCTCAGTCCCCTCCTGTAAGCACCAGTTCACAATAGACAGGCTGGGAGGTAGGGTGGGTATAGTTAATGCTACTCAGGGTGCGTCTACACATGTGCATTAGCTTATTTTAGTGCACATTAAAGCATTACAATAAAAACATGCTCTTTAGCTAATGTGCATTAAAATAGGCTAATCCACATTTTTTTCTAGTATCTCACACTGAAGGTACTAGATTTAATGTGCATTATTAAAGCGCATTAATTAAATGTGTAGACATGCCCTCAATCCCACAAAGAGAGCTTTAGCCTTGCAAATGGCCTTTTGGTTGATTAGTGTTAGCTCTTATTCTTTACATATTGACATTTATAGCACAGATATACAGGGGTCTTCATAAAAAAAGTTAAAGCCAGATCCTCTTCTACCTAGGAGATGTCTATGTACATTCCTATTCCAGCATCCTTGACTCCCTGAAAAATGGTTAATGTGTCCACTTCTGTGACACAACTTTGCTGGACTTGAAGACTTAAGTCACAAAAAGCAGTGCACCTGTTATATTAAATTTTTTTCAGACCTGCAGAGGATGGAATAGAAATGCAGTGAAATAGGATCCGGTCTCAAACAAGGAGGAACAGATCTTTCGATAGCATGCCAGAAAGGAGCACTTTCTTCCTTGTTCTCAATCAATTTCTATAAGAAACTTAGTGCTATAAGCAGACCTTCTCTGGTCTCCTGTCTCCTTCCCATCACTAGGTAGCTATGGACAGACACTGCTAAGTACTTGCATTTGACTGTGTTGTCACCTGGGATCCCTTCACCTGCAGTTCAAGTTTGCACTTCATTTTGCCTAGCATGAATATATGAGAGATTTCCCAGAGCAAGCCATAAATCTGTGCAGAACTGATGGATGTTAAGGACAAAATGCTTTTTTACTCTTGGAACTGGCCTTCTGTAAATGACTCTTGAGTTCTTGAGTATATAAGTGTATACACACACACATATTATATATATATATTGTAATATGTGTGTGTGTGTGTGTATCAGGGTCAGTATATAAGATATTTAGAAAGAGTAACACTGGCATAACTACATTCAGAGGCAGAGCACATGAGCGAACAGAGATGATGAAGATGTCCTGGATAAACTCCTCAATATCTCCCCAGTAAAACTTCCTGAGTCTGCAGAGCCGGTGGGAGGAAGAGGGTGGCTAGGAGGGCTAGTGCATACCTTGATTTCCTGGGAGACCTCAGGCAAACTCCTTCCTTTCTCCTGGCCTCAGGTTCCCCACCTGTGAAAAGGCGGTGACTGTACATTTGTTTGAGAACAAGGAATGGCCACTGTGAGCTGGGGGTCAAGAGCTGGGGTTCAGTCTGGACTGGGAAGCTTGCTCTCACACCAGGCTTTGCTCTCTTTTGCTTTTGGCCAAGCTTGGACTATTCACTGGGAAACAGAGCCTGCCTCCTGGTGAAACTCTCCACTGGCTGCCATAGCCTGGCAGTGCGTGGTGAAGCTGTTCAGGACCCTGACCATGACTTAGTGTGGCTTGTGAGTGGTCGCTCAGAGCCTCCTAGCACTGCCCTGTTAGACCTAGATGGCTCTGCCCCTTCCCGAGGGCTCATCCCCCTGCCTGGCGCTGGCTCTGATGTGCTTGCCCATTGCTCCCCACCTCTGCAGAACAACTGTAAAGACGGCCCCTTGGGGAAGGAGGAGCTGCGGTGGTCCGTGCAGAACATGCCCGTGCAGGAGTGGAGGGGGACCGAACGCGAATCCCTGGGTGACGTTCTCTGTGTCTCCAAAGTGAGGTTGCAGCATCTGCCTTTCCAGGTAGGGCCCTGGTCTCCAGGGATCTGGTACCTTCACAGTAACGTGGCATGTTGTTACCAGCAAAGTGAGTGGATCAAGTAAATGGGAAAGATCTCTCTCTCTACCCCTATCATCTCAGGGCAGCCAGTATTACCACCCCGTCTCCCTGTACCAGCAGGCTTCTCACATTCATGCATCTCCCAATGTATAAGAGCTGGTCTTCATTCCTGATGCTCCTGGTCTAAAAGTGCCCGCCAGGAAGTCCTGGGTGTGTCTGGGGACCTGCTGTGCCTCTGTGGGCTGACACAACTGGCAGGAGACAATGAAGAGTGCAGAAGAAATAGGGTTGGGGGTTGTGGTCTGAGTCCCTGGTCAAGGCAGGATCATGCCATTCCCAGTAGATCTTTGTCTGACCTGAAGTGCAGGCACAATTCAACACTGGCCATGTAGCTACGCACAGGTTGGAGGGATGGGATGTATGCAGAGGAGGTTTCTGAGCCTGCCGGGCCTTTGTGCTGAGGTGTATGAGTTGTGCTCAAGAGGCAGCCTAAGCCATGGCAAGCCAAGCTTAATTCTCCCCTCTCTGTCCTGCCAGGAGCAGCACGACAGGCTACTGATCCTGTACCCTTCCACACTGGTGATTGTATCGGAAGAGCGCAACGGCCTCTACTTTAAGGCAAGTGCATCTCATGCCCCCATCCCTCCCCGCCCCCTCGTATTTCATTGCCATGAGGCACCAGCCATTCTTCCCGGGTCTTTGCTTTCTCTCCCTCCCCAGAGCTTTGCTTCAACCCCTTTGTGTTGTGACTGGGCCAGCACCATAGCTCAGGGCCGTTGTGAGCCATTTCCCATGGGAACAGCCTTGCCCTTCTGCAAGAGTCCATTGCCAGGGAATTCCAGTGTCTGGGAGGAGATAGCATCTCAATACTTCTTTGTGGTTCGGCTGGTGCAGGGCTGGCTGGGCAGCAACCCAACATGCCTCTCCAGCTTGAGACCAACCTTGCCGAGCCCTCTGCGGCCTCCGCTCACTCACCCGGCATCCGACTGCCTTGAGCTGGCTGGCATCCCTTTAGCCACAGGATCAGCTTGCACTAGCCCTGCTGCTGGGAGCATGTGCTCCTTTGGTGGATAGTGAAGGGTGGAGGAAGGCTGCTGGATTTCATTCTGGGGGAAATCTTCTTTGCAACTACCCTGTGCACTTTCCTGGATACTAAAAGGCGCCACAGAGACCAGATGCATGGTTAAGCACCACGCCTTCTAGCCTGGCTGGCAGAAATGCTGGCCAGAATTGTACTGAAACCAGCATGGGCCCATCTCCCTTGGGGCACCCACCATTGCTAAGGCTGGTGGCTTCTTGTATGTCGAAAGAGCCTGGCACTCCTGGTGTGCCAGCAAAAGAGGAACCAATGGGCGGGGGCGGGGGCACTTCATGCCTCATGGGGGCTTGTGACATTCGCAGACTGCGTTTCCATTGGGATTTCATCACTTCCCCCAGCTGCCCTGTGCCCACAAGACTCCCTAAGTGAGTCAGCTGGCTTGTTTCTATACCTAGGGATTTTGACCAGCTGCATAACTCATGGGTGCTCTCAAGAATTGGGCTGGCTCTTGGGGATGCCTTACTGTCAGAGCAGCTGCAGGAGCAGAGAGCAGCAGGAAACCTCTCTGGGGAAGAGTCCTTGCAGGCTTTGCCCGCTGCCGAGGGAGAAGTCGGTGCCGTTCTAATCAGAGTCCGACCCCCGGCCTCACAGCAACACTGCATTGGTTTGGGATTTCAGTGGAAGGAGTTGGCTCCTCTCTGCAAAGCCTTGTCAGGGAAGAAGGACCAGTAGCAGCAGGTGTGTGGGCTGGGCTGGGCTGGGCTGGGCAGGCCGGCATTTCTGCTCTCTCCCTGACCAAAGGTCTCTTTCTGGGCAGGGAAGACCCGTCTCCCCCAGACAGCACACGGTGTCTCCATTTGGGCCCCGGAGCGAGGGTGGGGACATACTTTGGAAGCCAAGGAAGGAATGAGCAGCCACCAGCATCAGCTGTGAGCATGGGCTACCGCACCGTGCCCCAGGGGCTGGAGAAGGGGGAGGGGTGTGAAGCAAGAAGGAATCTGGCAATAACTCCCCTCCCCGTAAAACCAGTGGCCTGTGTATTTTGGGATCAGCTCAGAGATCTGGGGGTACTTGGCTCGAACCCCCTTTAGGGGCCTGGTTTCCAAAAAGCTCGGGTCTGCACCCTCTGAGAACTGGGCTGCGTTGCAGTCCCCTGGTGCCTCTTGCCCTTGCAAAGCTCAGCCAGCAAAATTGATCTTCATGTCCCCGCTGCTTGTGTCCTCCCTCCCTGCCTCTCTGGCGTTCACTCCCGGCTGTCCAGGCAGGTCGGAGTTGCACACTGGGCTTCGTGCAGCCACAGCGCTGAAGGGCTGTGATTCACAAAGTGGTGACTTCCCCAGACAAGCTGGTGCACAGGATCCTCCCACGGAGGCTTGGGCCGCTTGACCTCCCTTCCCTGAGAGCGGAGGCTCAGGCCGGGGGCCAGGGACTTCAGGTTCTTCTGGCTGGAGCCCGTGGGACGATGTTGTCCCAGAGCAGCAGGGTCTGACTCACCCCGCTGGAAAAAGGCCCCAGGCCTGGGCCTGGCTTTGCAGAAGAGGTGCTGGCTGAACAGGGGAGGAAGTCAGGGATGAAAGGAGAGACCAGCCCTCCCTCCACGGCTCATATGGAGACAGTGATGCTGCCTGGGCTGCCCTTCGGGGAGCTGCTGCTCACCTCCTTTGGAGACAGCAGCTCTGAGCTGAGCCCAGGGGCACAGGGACCTCTGCTCATCCACCTCGTCCCGTGGGCATTGCATACACGAGTAGCCCCCCTGTGCAGTACAGACCTCTGATGGGTACTTCCCCAGTGGCTAAGAGCTAATGTTGCTCCTAGTAGCCTGACGGGCACGTGGGGTTGGGAGAAGGATCCCAGCATGTCTCTGAGCGGTAAAAAGCCTGTCCCCTCCAGCCTCCCTGGCCCTTACTTTCTCTAAAGGCCTCTGTTTCATCTTGCCATGTGGGCCTGTGCAGTTGCCAGCCTGAAGCAGCACCTGTCGGTCAGCTGGCACTGTCTTCTGGATGCACTGCTGGTGCCATGCCACGAGGGGCAGGTGGAGCTGCTGGGAAGGTAGGGCACAGCCCTGCTGTGCTCTGGAGGCAACTGTGTCCAGCCAGCCCTAGCCGCAGGGACAGGCGGTCTCTCATGGAGGATCCTGGGGCCACCCCTTCCCCACCCTCCCACACGGGTGATCTCCACATGGCAGGAATGCCAGGCATGGCTGGGGGTGGCACGGCTTCCCCACACTTGTCCCGGGGCTGAGCCGGCACAGCGGCCATGGGGTCTGCGGTTAAAATGTGCCACTCAGCAGCTCCTTCACAGTGCAGATAGCAGTTGGGGGTGTGGGAGAGCCCCTACAGTCAGGCCAGGCCCTGCTGGGGTATGAACAGCTCCACTCTCACAGCCCCGTCCCTGTCCTGCCACCACCATGCGCATCCTCACAAGCGGGACAATGGAGGGGGGAAATGGTGGCGTGGGGCAATGAACTGTACTTTCCTCTCGGCATTACCCAGGGAGCAGAGCCAGGACTCAGGTGCAAGGGCCTGATTCTGCACCCATAGAAGTCACCGGTGGCACTATCCAAAATCCCTGTTTCTGAGAGACATGGCGAAGCCCAAGGGAGGCAGAGTACTCCTTCTTTCTGTGCCTCCTGGCCCCAGCCCTTGCATTGCTGGGGGGAGCTGGCTTTGCCTCTTAGGAGTTCCCATGCTCCTGACTCCTCTCCCCACTGCTGGGGTCAGGAGCCGCTTGCAGACACCCGTGTTGCCTGCTGCAGGATCTCTCCTCTCGCAAAGCAGCTCATGATGGCAGCAGGCTGAGAATAACCAGGGGCTGAAGGGACAGAGAGCCAGTATCTGGCAGTTCCCCTTCCCAAGGGAGAGGAAAGAAAAGCAAAACATGGTCTCAACCTTTTGCTTTTTCCTAGTTACAGGCCTGGGGGTGGCTGCTCTGTTCGGGTCCAGTTCTGCCTCTGCTGGGTGCCCATGGCAGGGGGAGTTTGGGGCACTACAGAAGCAGGACACAGCCCCTAAATGACAGCCCCAGACTTGTATTGACTCTTGTAAGCAGCTGTCCTGAAAGAACAGCAAATGGGGTGAAAACACTGTCAAGCCACGTGAAGTGCCCATGCCTGCAGTATCCAGATTCCAGCTCTCCTTTTGGGGATCTGTGGGCCAGCTGCCGAGCAAACCCCCCTGGTTTCCCCCACCTGCCTGATAGAGATCATAGCACTTATCAGGCAGTCCGCACCGGGAGAGGATTTACAGTCCTGTCACTGGGGAGTCCTGAGTGTTTTATTTCACTGTCTCTTACCTCGGCTGTGATTGATGTAGGAAAACATCTTGACAGCGACACTTAAAGGCATTTCAAGGCATAGTGCTTCCTACAAACCATAAAAAAGCAGGATAGTAATAATCAGGTGTTACTCTCTTATTATTCTATCAACCAAAGGCTTGGCCAGGGACATTTTTACAAGCTGCCTGGAAAAAGGGGCACTCACAATCGCAAAGAGTGGCAAGGGAGAAAGCAAGGTTTCCACAGGCAAGATCTCAGCAGCAAGCATAGAAATAATTGATACAGGTCAGGCTTGCAGATTAGATTCCTGGCAGATCTTTAAAGGCGACTTGATCTTGGCTCAGATGAAGGGGGCAGGATGGATTGGTTGTTACTATGCTGGTCTGGGGTCCCAGCTTTACCCTCCCTTGTGCCCTTGCTCATGTCTTTTGGGATATGGTTTTCTAAAGGGCCTAAGTGACTTAGGAGCCTAATCACATTTTTGAGCCTGATGTAAAATGCATCTGCACTCTGGAGCTGTTTCTGGCATAACTGTCCTGGCCGAGCTCCCAGTGGAAAGGAAGAAGATGCTGGCAGTGTGGAGGTCTGCGGCTGCCATAGCAGTGCCACCTCCCCAGATGACACCATCTGTGCTGACCAACACGCCTGTGGTCAAGGTCACCACGTCTGCACTGAGCGGGTTTGCCAGCATAGCCACGGGGGTGAGGCGGCATGAACGTTAGGTCCTCACTCCTAACCAACATGGCCAGGCCAGCCACGTTACACTGCAAGCTCTTAGAGCCAAGATCTCTTTGACTTTCCACGAGACTGAGCCACTTTGGAAAAAGGCAACTTAGTCATTTAGGTGCTGTTGAAGATTTTGCTTTTTGTCCCTCGGAGGCTCAGTTCCCATGTGTACAGTGTGGGTGGTAGCGCTTGCTCTCAACCGGTGGAGTTATAAGCCCATTCCTTTCTGCACACAGGGAGAGCTGCCTCTGAATGCAATACAAGTTAAGTTCGAGGAGAACCAGAAAACCTCATTCCTCATAGAAGGTAGGTAACTCACACATACCAAATATTATAGAACCACAGATCATAGAATCACAGAAAATTCGGGTGGGAGGGGACCTCGGGAGGTCACTTCTAGTCCAACCCCCTGCCCAAAGCAGGACCAGCCCCAACTCGATCATCCTAGCCAGGGCTTTGTCCAGCTGGGTTTTAGAAACCTCCCAGGATGGAGAGTCCACCACCCCTCTAGATAACCTGTTCCAGTGCTTTACTACCCTCCTCATGAGACAGTATTTCCTAATATCCAACCTAAACGTCCCTTGCTGCAAGTTGAGCCTGTTGGTCCTTGTTCTGTCACCTGCCCCCACTGAGAACAGCCCAGCTCCATCCTCTTTGAAACCACCCTCCAGGTAGTTGAAGGTTGCTATGAAATCCCTACTCAGTCTTCTCTTCTGCAGACTAAATAAGCCCAGTTCCCTCAGCCTTTCCTCACAAGTCATGTCCCCCAGCCCCCAAACCATTTTTGTTGCCTCCCACTGGACTCTCTCTAATTTGTCCACACCCTTTCAGTACTGGGGGGCCCAAAACTGGACACAGTACTGCAGATGTGGCCTCACCAGTGCTGAATAGAGGGGAATAATCACTTCCCTTGATCTGCTGGCAACGCAACCCAGTATTGCGTTGCAACCTATTAATACAACCCAGTATGCTGTTAGCCTTCTTGGCAACAAGGGCACACTGTTGGCTCATATTCAGCAATATTGCATACAGCATATTTGCCATATTGCATTAGGCAAAGCCAGTATGACTTGTAGGAATGGCATTAATTCTTCTAAAACTTAGGTTCCAAAAGAAGATTTTGCTCCTAGCATTATTTTTATAGCAAAGAAGGGTGGTGGAATTATAAGCCTTAATATGGGCAGACACGTTTGCATCCATTGAACATGCATTTGAGTCATTCCGCACCCGCGGTGAACTATCTGTGTACAGAAATAGTTTCCTGTTACTGCCTGGGAACCAGAACTGGAAAAGGGCTTGAAAAATGGGCTGAAACCGTACAGCTGGGAAATGAAAATTGTTGGCCTAAAATTCACGTTCCCACCTGAGTGACGTACAAGAGTAACCAACCAGCATATATTGTCCACCCAGCCGGTCATTGAAACTGCAATTCAAGGTTTAACTGAAATTTCCCATTTCTAAATACTGATGATAAAAACAGGAAGAAAAAAAATCCAAAAAATGTATATAATTATTTTTCTCCCCTCCTCCCAGCATTGCCCCCTCTGCATCCCCTCCCAACACCTTTAAGGATCTTAAGGTATCCTCAGTTGATTCAGTACAGGGAAGAATGATTGTTATAATTTCTCTGCCTCTTGACAGCCTCCCTTTTAATGAATACTTATATTACTGTGGCATCATTATTTAAGTGACTCTGCTTTGTTTTGTTTCTTTTAAGTGCTGATTTAAGCAAAGCTGCTGCTTGGGTTGATGCGTTTAGAAATGTTTCCTTTTCATTCAAACCCAGCAGCTTAGTGGCTGCATCGCTGCTGAAATCCAAGCACTGACTTTTCTCGGGGAGAAGAACAAGGGGTGGAAGTCAGGCTTGAGCCAGGGCAGTAGCAGTGGCGCTCTATCACCTGGCTGTTTGGGGCATGGGTCTTCTGCTGGCCCTCCACCCAGCAGCCTCCAGATATTGATTTGTGAGGGGAGAAAACATGGCTCATCCACCAGCAGCATTTAGTGTGATTTCTGTTCCTTCTAGGCCGGTTAATAAATTCCATCCGGGTCATCTGCCCCAGCTACGAAGATTACCAGGAGTGGCTCTACTGCCTGAAAACAGCCCAGTTTCGAAATGCAGAATCATCGCTCTCGGGATCAGAAAGCTTCTCAGGATCAAAGCTCCCCCACCTCGGGCAGGTAATAGGCATTGCAAGGCTGCATGGAGATCGATTTGTAATATCTCTCCCGGCCACACCTCGCATGTAATGTGAGAATACCCTGAGGGACGCGACTTTGCTTGGAGCGGCACCCAAAAGCAGGAGAGAAAAGTCTTTGATCACTGCAGATTAGATGCATATCCCTGTATAAATCTAGGGCTCTGTACTCAGAGTGGTCTTGGAAAGAGGGCAGTGGTATGAAGTCGTGTCTCCCTCCCTGTGTCTTGAGGGAGGATAGGAGCCTGCTGTGACCTGCAGCCAAGGGAGACCCTGGCCACAGGTTAGGAGGCTTCTGTGCAATCGTCCTGCTGCAACAGCGCTGTGGTGGTAATGGGGATTTGCGAAGGGAGACAACAAATCCCAGCTCAGCATTTGTAGCGAGAATGTGCTAAGGCCTTGGAAACTGTCTGACTTGACTTCTTCCCTTGCTGGGTGTCTTTTACCTGCTGGATAAAAAACCTGGCCCAGCAGTAGGTGAACAAAAGTCTTTCGCAGCAATGACTGGGCAGTGTCTAACATGCACTGAGCTCGTGGGTCTTTGTCCAACTCCCGATGGCCTGTCACACAGACAGACATTGCTGCTGGCATAAGTGTGGCACTTCTGTTGGCATCCCTGGCAGAAGGTGATTGAATAGGCCATAGCTATTTAATTACTTTCCTGTCTCTAGAAGCTAGCTTCTCAGTCATGCAGGGTACATGCCATAGCCACAGCTGTGTGGACCTATTGGTGGCAGCACAAAGCTCAGTGCAGGATGGAAAACCTGCCTCAGAAGCTGAGTATTAAGCAGTGGACAGGGAGTCCGTGCTGAGCTTCGTGGTGAGGCTGCTAGATTGCAGCCCACAAGCTAGTGTCAGGGAGTCTGCTCTGCCTTGCAGTGACAGCAGTGCAGATGTACTCCCAGTCCAGTAGGTTTGACACCAGAGCCCATGCTGGCCCAGCTGTGTGCAGTGTACATGGCCACTGCCCCCGTGAGCATCCAACCCATTGCCTTTCCCTAGAACCATTTGCTGGGGCCTGAATAGTGCAGACAGCAATAACCCTGTGCCACCTGTGGGCATGGGATGTCCCTGGCCATGGGCAGTCTTTCTCAGGACATGGGTAGGAGAGTAGGGAACAGGTCAGTCTGTGGATGTCACACTACTTCCCATTCACTGTTTTTCTCCCCTACAAATGCTTCAGTTCCCAGGCAGTGGCAGGGGCTCACTCACCTCAGATGGCCGGACAAACTCCTGGACGTCGGGAGGGAAAGTCACCACCTTAACCCACCTCTCCCAGAACAGCGGCTCCCTCCCTGATGGAGGGCCCTTTACCATGATGCCTGAAACCAGAGTGATTGAGGACTTCTTTTCCCCAGGCTATTCCCAGCCTCTGCATGTAAGTGGGGTCTCCTGAGGGCTGGGGCTAAGCATGCAGGGCTGGCTTTGACCTGGCTTAGGAGCATGTGTGCTTGCAGAGCATGGGCAAGAAGAGCTGAATGGCAGTAACTCACCAATGCATGGCCCCGAGGTGGTGTTTATAATACAGCCCCTGTTCAATGGCTCCTGGTGGAAGGGGAGGCATTGAGCTAATGGGAATTGAGAACTTGGGTCATCAGGGCCCCTCATACACCATCATACACCATTGTGAGGCAGGTTCTCCTTTGGGATCGCGGTGGTGAATAGCGTCACAAGAAAGCACTTGGCATGCGTTGGAATTAGCACGTGTGTGTGACATTTTCAACCTACCACTACTTTCAAAGCCTGCCAAAGGCACAAATGGAGGGGTTCCAAGGTCAGGAGAAGCCAGCGTTAAACTGATTCCCCCCATTCACCCATAGGAGCTGAGAGTTGGCCCTTAATAACACAGCATGCTGTTTTTTAGCAAGACACTCTGCCTCCCGTAATGCCTAGGTGGGCCCATGTGCAGCTCTCAGGCAGGTTTCCTATCTCCACTAGTCCCCTACCACCTCCTCTGCATGCCATCCTGGGTGCAGGTCTGGGGAGAAACTAGTATGTCATTAAGCAAACACTAGTTGGTTGGTAAGGAGCATCAGAGCACTAGTCCCCGATGCCCATCTCCTTATGGCCAGAGCATCACTGTCCCATCAGTGCAGTCACCAGGGACTTACTCCATCTCATTCTACATGACTCGAGCAATCGGGTTATCACCCCTTGCCATGGGCATGGGGTCTGCAGTCTGGCCAAGGCCACTGGATGTTGCAGTGGGCATGGGGAGGGACCTTGGTGAGCACTGCCATTCTCATGCTCATGGGGCACATGGGTGGCATGTGTCTGGGGCATGTTACAGAAGCTGACCCAAGGATTTGCCATCTGGTTGCAGTGCCTGGCGAACCCCGGCTGGTCGAAGCAAGAGCTGAAGAGGGGCGGCAGCACCCGCAAGTCCAAGGGCAAATGCGGCCCCTCCACACAGCAGCCCCCGCCAGGCATGCAGGACGCAGAGAGGAATGCATGCCACCTCGCTGCTGAAAACCCCAATGGCGAGCACCTGTGCCCTGTGTACAATGACCCATGCTCTTCACTGAGCTCTGAGCAGCGCCAGGCTCCCCCCCTGCGTCTGGACTTGAGCAGTGTAAGGGCTTGCGCTGCCCGGGAAACCTGATGGTCTGGGTGGGGAGGATTGTCTGGACCAAAGTGGCTCGGGCAGCTTTGGGCACCAGCAAAACCAGCAGCTCCTGCCCTCCAGGCCAGCTCTGCAGTTAATGGGCCGGGTGTCTCTCATGCCACAGCAGTAGACCAAGAGTCAGGGGGGAGTCATGAGTGCCTTAACCTCTCCTGGCAGCCTGTACGATGGGGGCCTGGTCTTGGGAAGAGGGCAGTGGTGCGTTCTGGGTTGTGCATGAGGCCATGCCTTCCTCCCTCTGTCTTGAGGGAGGATAGTAGCCTGCTATGACTTACAGCCAAAGGAGATGCCGTTAGCTCAGACAGATCCTCTTGGTGCTGAGGGTGGTGGTGGAAGGGTCCAGTTGCCCGTGGTGGGCAGTGACTGAGGCAGGGTCTGTTAGTTCAAGTGGCAGGTGGAGTCCTAATTTGGGGAGAGCTCCACTCCCACCTCTGGTAAGCGAGTCACAACACGGGCAGCGGGACACGGCATTGACTCGGGGGCTCTTCCTTTCAGCTCACTCGCTGGAGCCTGGCCGAGAGTCAGCACTCCATGGCATCCAGCTCCTCGGAGAAGATGCCCCTGCCCAAGTCCCCACTGTATGCAGACCCCTACACCCCCAACTCCCCCACGGCACTGAGTCCTGCAGGCTCCGGCTTCCTGGAAGAGGTACAATGCATGCTTAGTGGTAGACCTGTACAGGGCAAGGCACAAGGTCATGTCCATGACTCACCGCATGCAGCTTCTGCTCTGGTTACCCCTCACGGGGCAGGGGCAGGGGTCCTGCCCTCTCTCCTGTTCTGCTGCAATCCTGGGCTAGTCCCAGAGACCAGGGCATCTGGTGCCTAAATCTTTCTGTATACAGCCAAGTTCTCTGGCTGCTAAACCCAGGTCGAAACAGGCCTGGGGCAGGTTTACTTTCTCCCAGTGTGGGCTGACCCAAAAATGAGCAGGCACGGCCTGAGAGCTGGGGGAGAGCAGGCTGCCTTGAGACAGGCGTAGGTCAGCTCAGGAGACTGTTTTCTCCAAAACCCAGGCTTCAGGGCTGGTGCACGAGCCCATGTCGAGGAACCAGCCTCTGCTTCTGCACCTCTCCCATGGGCAGGTGCTGTGATGGAGCCTGCAGCTGCCTGCCACTGTCTTGCTGAGAAGCAGCAAGTTGTCTCTGACCCTTGAGGGTCTTCTGTGACACACTTAGGGCTTGGGTCCCTCTTGTCCTCAGCCAGCCCCTGCCTGGCCTTCTGGAAGCACGTGTTTTTTCATCCCCCTCAGGGGCCGAAGGCTGGCGGACCTGGGCTTGGTCCTTCTCGCCCCTCTAAGGGCAGAGTGTGAACCTGATGGGAGTGTGGTTTTGACCTGCAGCTTAATTGTGCGGCAGAGAAGTAGCTTTAGTGTTGGCAGCTTCCAAGACGGTCTTTGTTCTTCTCTTCAAGTTCCTCAGGTGTCATGGGCAGACCGGCTCAGAGCAGGTGAACGGCTGCCCGCCAGCCCCCGGTCTCCATCACCCGCCACTCCAGCCTTTACGGAGCAGCCACTGGAGAGAATCACCAGCAGCCCAGAGATACAGCGTCCCCGGCCCCTCCTGCAGCCCACTGCTGGGGCGGCCTCCCGATGTCGCCTTCTTCACAAACGCGAGTGCCAACGGCAGGGTGGGGACCGGCGCTGGCTCTGAAAGTGCTGGGAACTCAGGGCGCGGGGCTGAGGCCAGTGGGTTGTGGCCCTGGCTGTGGGGGAGCACTTTGCCCCCAGGGAACAGGGCTCATGAGATATAGAAGCATCTTTTGGCATCACCCTCTCGTGTCCTGTAACGTGGGGTTGAGGGAGATGCTTTGTGGTGGCCGTGGCAGCCCTGGGCATGCAGATTGCTAGAGGCAGCATCCTTGCTATACATAGCAAAGTGGGCCTTGAGAAACAGGCTTCTGACCTTCATATGTGGGCATTGACATTGCAGTCCTTAAATAACCTCAGAATGGGTCTCCCCTCTTCCTCCGTGGCAGCTGTGGACACACCAGAGTCCAGAGACCTCAAGGAACTTGTCCAGCTCCCCTAGAGGCTGTGGCAGGACTGGGAAGTGGGCCCTGGTCTGACTTCCAGGCCAGTGCAGCACTTTTCCCCTGAGACACCCCTAGAGAAGTCCATTTCACCAGCCCGGGTGTTGGGAAGGCTCGAGCGTGACCAAAACAGGATGATAGCGGTCCAGGGGAGCCCCATCATGCCAGAAGGATGGTGACTACAGTGCAGGGCCTTAGGGGTGCAGCGGGACTGAGCCTGGGGCTATGGCTGGGTGCCCCCCAACAGACTGGAGCGGGGAATCTGCTAGGACGGGGAGAACTGCTGCTTCCCACGGGGAAATATCCTGGCATAGACCCTTCATCACTGCATTTCTTTCTTCCCAGGATCCCCCCCGGAGGGAAGAATACCTGGGATCTTCCCTGCAGCTCCCAGGTGAGCCCCAAGGAGGCAGAGGACCTGTCCTGTCTGACGCACGCACGTTCTCCTCTAGCTTGGCCTGGCCCAGCGTGGCCGTCTCCCCCTCCAGCTGTCCCGCTGCTGTCACTCAGCAGATCTCCGAGCAGCTGCCGCGTGCTGCGTAACCCAAGCCCGGAGCGTAATGTCTGCCGCCTTCCGCTCACTCTCCCTGCCTGCCATCTGTCCGTCTCACGCGAGGCTTTGCATTTGAGGCTGGCTTTCCAGAAAAGGCAGTTAGCTATAGTTCCCCCAGAGCTGCCAAGACCCACGATCCCATCAGACCTCGCTTATCCGTTCCCAAGGAAGTTGCAGACCTATGGCTGGGTGATCGCCGGGGGCAAGTACCCTCAGGGCAACACCTCCGCTATGTGTCACTTGGTGTCAAAAGCCGTAGGCACAGAGCATTGCTTTGGGAGGGAGCTGGTCTGTCTAGGGCAGGATCAGGGCTCTGTGGGGCATGCATCCTTGTCACGATATCAGATACCAGATTTCTTGGTGCAGTTTCTGAATGTCCTTGGGAGGGGGGAGATCGGGTTTATGGTATTAAGCCCACAAGAAACCAGGTCATCAGGTCAGTTTTCCTTTCCCAGGCAAAAATGCTGGCGTTTATGACCTGCCTGGGAACAGGCACACGTGGCTGGACTCAGACTACCACGACTATGCCGAACTCCAGAGCTTCCAGAGCGAGCTCAGTTATGACAACCTCTGGGAGGCCGAGGTGAAGGACTTGGGTGTCCGGCAGGGCCTGCCACCGTCCAGCCCTCAGTACTATCATGTCTGAGAGCAGCACACCCCAGCCGTGCTCCTCACCCCTCCACAGCCTGTTCTTCCCTGATCAGCTGGGACAATTCTGGGGTGCATAAAGGGGGAGGAAGGGCCCCTGCTATGACTGTCCGTTTGTGCCGAGGCCTGCGGGCGCCAGGTTCTCTGATCCCGATGGAGGCCACGTTGAACTGTTCCACCACATTTTAGTGTGAGGCCCACAAGCCTGTGGAAAAGACTCTGAATCCCAATGAGGAATGAAGTCCCTGCCTGCTTGCCAACGCATCTGCTGCATGCAGGATCCCTGGGGACAGGAAACCTGCTGTCCAAGCTACTGGAGAATCAGGGCCAAGGGACAGCCATTCTTCTATGCAGCAGAAAAACAGCCAAGGTGCTAGCTGAGTTGCATTGGATCAAAAAACAAATGTGCGCGTGGAAAGGTCAGTGACTCAAAGGCCATAGAAGAGGTTGCTGGAGTGGTGAGTGTCTGTGCAGTATTAGAGCTGTGGAGCGGGACCCTGATTATCTGCCTTTTCATTGGAGTCTTGGTTGGTGATTAGTATTACAGGGCACCTTCATACCTTGAGCCCAGCCAATGAGCCGGATCACCTGCCTGGCTGCACCACGGCCTGTGCAAAGGGACATGGACGCGTGTGGTCTCCACACTCAGTGCTGCTGATGGCTGCACTCCTCACACAGACTCAGGACAAGGGGGACAGCTAGCCATTGAGGTGCAAAGAATCCTTGAGCCCTGCTTGCACTCGCCAAGGCATCTCCTCCTTGCTGGCTACTGCTCCATCTTCCCTGTCAGCACTAGCTCGGATGCCAGGGCATCGAAGGGCATCTAAGAAGGGCATCTAAGCACCTGGCAGACATTGAGAGCGGGACAAAGAGGAAATCTGTTGCCTGAAGCATGCTCGGGGATGGCACCCCAGCCTTCCACCCCTCTGCCCATGACCAAACTGCATCCAACCCGTTCCTGTGAACAGGCAGGGGGAAAGAGGAAATCCTCTTAAAGCAGAACTCAGCAGGACCCTTCTGGTGCTTAAACATCTTCAGCAAAGTTCACATGCTGAACTCCTTCTCCCTAGTCCTCCAGGGCCCTTGCGGGACGGTGCCAACAGGCATCGCTCCAGAGGGGATATAGAGTCTGATCACTCCCCAGCCTCTGCAGTGCAGACAGGCTCACCAGCAAACCAAAGGACTTTCCCTGAGGCCACACAGTCTATTGTTTGCTCCCCAGCAGCCTGTAGCATACTAAGGAACTCTTTTTTTTTTTCCTTTCACTGGTACCCATGAAACAAGCTAGGAGATTGTGGTACTTGAACTCTTTTACAAGGCATCAAACAAAGTTTACACATACGGTTTGAGTGGAATATTTGTATTTAATGTGTAAATGGAGGAGAGTTTCCAATCTATTTAATCTTGTAGCTCTGAACTGCAGCTCACAAGCCCATGCATCTGTGCCGGGTGAGATGGGTGGCTCTTCTAAGCGGTTTTGTTTTATTTCAGGTTCACTTTCATATTGGGAAGGTTTATGTCTAAGAATAACTTAGCCTGGAGAGGATCTATTTATTCAGCACAGATTTGCACTGGGGAATGTCAGAGCACATAGTTTTCTTATGTGCAGCTGCACTCTGGTTTCAGCAAACGTAACACCTTGCAGAGACCATTTTTCCAATCTGGGTTGGGTTTTATTTTTGGGGTTTTTTTTTTCCTTTTTGTACAGCAGAAATTGCCATGAGTTGAAATAACTTCCTGTTGTCTTCTCTGGTTATTTTCCACAAGGTTGTACCATTCTAATAATATGCCTTCCTTCAGAAATGAGTCTCTCTCTTTATTTGTCCTTGCCTGGTTTAACAGAAGAATTGTTTTTTTACCCCTTTATGATGCCACCCCAGCACCTCAAGGACAAAATAACTGTTCCTTCCATCCCAGACTGTGAGTCACTGGGTAAAGGGAGGCTCTTCAAACTGCTGACAGTGTGGAGGGCTCAGGTTGGATCAGTGATTTGCAAACACATTATCTAGGAGCAAACTCTCTAGCGTATTCTTCAGGAGAGAGAGGCTGGAATTTGGAGCTCCAAAGTTTATGGGCTGTTTTTTCCACTCCAGTGTCTCTGGCTGAATGGGGCTTTGCAAGTAGCGGGCAAAGAATTGCTCAATAGATTTTCCTGAAGGACATGACTTTGCCTGCCTGGGAAGTGTGTGGTTATGAGGCTGGGAGGGTCTGTGCTACCTGCACTCCAGCACCGTAGGGAATTCACACTGGGTGATGTTCATCACTGAGCAGATGCCCAGCAAAAGGGCTGAGTGGGTCATGAGTTGTCCAGAGGTCTTTAGCTGGGACTTTGTGCGGTGGTGAAAGTCACTCAAGATGTGCGTTCCCTTTCTCCCTCTTGTTCTCAATCAGCTCTAACACCTCTGAAGTTGCACCAGCCAGCTCTTTGGCAGGGGAAAAATAAAGATGTCAATGGAAGCAGTCCCACCAGAGATTTTCCTCTGAGTAAAATTAACATCCCAGGCCCAGCTGGTGAGAGGGCTGCAAGGCAGGTACTTGGCTAACAACCGAGCTGGGTAGGCAAATGGTTTGTCTATGGACTCTATGACACATCTCAAGTCCTCAAGACAGGGCTGGCGACTTAGATCCAGCCTCGTTTGTGATTCATTTGGGAACAAGACTTTGCAAGATCGATTTGGTCCCCCTGCCTCCCTGATGTGCTGGTTCTTAGGGTAATTTCTCCTCCTCCTGTTGTACTTTCAACTTTGGTTCAGTTTTCCTTTCCTGTGGTTTTCTGTCTGTCCTTTAGCCCTTTGACTCTAAATAAATGTCACCTTTTACCTCATTCTCTTTACAGCGCAGAGGCGCTTCTGTGGGGAACAGAAATGTGGGCCAGGGAGGGGGCCGCCTTCCAAACAGACTGCTCAGCGTTGAAAGAAAGAAGCAGAACGATGTTATGTGCTGGGCGATTTCAGCACTGAAAATTAAGGGGGTTGCAATACTACAGGGCCTAATAGAAACCAGCTGACAAAGAAAGGGATGAATTTGTGTCCTTCCAGATACTAAGGTATTGAAAAGATTCACCAAACTGCACGATAGAGCCAGTTAATTGCTGATGGATAAGGAGCGAGTACCCCCAAAGTGGCTGCATTTCAGTGACAGGATGATCGCTAATGCCTACAACAGGTCCTAGCCTGGGGTTCAGTACCTTGCCCAACAGACAAAACCTCACATTAGGGACGATAGTTGAGAGGTGAGAGCCGCCCACCAAGGGGCCCACGTGGGAACTGGATCCCCCATCCCTCAATTCCCTCGTTCACCTGCTCTGCAAAAGTTGCTCTGGGCAGATTCTGCACTGGTAAAACTGGCTTGGGTGGAGGTGCAGTTGTTTTTTCATCTGAGCTATTTAAAGTGATACAAGTGGTGTAATGGGAGTGCAGTAACCTGGTGCAGCTTATTCCCTGTCCTGTATGGGAATACGTTTGACCGGTAGAAGGATGTTTTATGTTGGTAAAATTTAGAGTGAGGGGGGGCTATGCCACTTGACCTACTCTGGTATAACTATGGTATTACAAAGCCTCGGTAGGTCCTTAAAATGGCTCCAAGACACCATTCCTTGACTTTGGGTAAAGTCAGAGCTATATCCCATCTTTACAACAAAGCCCCCTCTCGTGCCTCCAGTACTACTGGTGCCCCTGAAGGACCCTCCGAGCCTGGTAGTGACTCAGCCTGATGGTGGTTACCTGGCTGGAGCCACCATTGTAGGCTGCAGCTCCACTCACATCGTCCTGTCTTGTGACTGTGTAAACCCAGTGCTCTGGCTCTGGCTCCGACACATTTCTCAGCCAGTCCAAGGTTTATAAATAGATAACTTCTTCAAAGGGATACTAGCTGTCGCCATGCAGAGGGCCCCTAAACTGAAAGCACAGGACCTTTGAAAACACTCCTACCTCCAATCCTACCATCCTCCAAGCCTCCAGCCTGGGTTGCAACAGAGAAAAATGTTTTAAGGAGGTGACCCAGTAACCACAATACAAGGGCAATAGAGTTTGTAGCAAGCCTGCACACGTCCAACTGTTCTGGATCACCTTTTTTAATTTGATCTTGCAATAGTCAGCCCGAGCAAAGGTGGAGCTGTGATTACAGTTGGAAAATATTTGCAGCCAATAATTTATTATGGGACCAAGGCAATCAAAGACATGAGTCCCGGCCCAGCTCCCCAAGCAATCATGAGATTGGGCTGGAAGAACAGGAGTTATTTTTTCTTTTAAACGCATTGGGGTTCTTTCCTTTGATGTGGGGTTTCTGAGCTTTATAAATTGCACTCTGCTTCTACTTTTCAAGGTTTCCTTCCAACAGCCATGAGAAATAGAAACTTACCCCTTTTACCAAGTGGAGATGGTCACATAATCACGTGACTCCGGGAGCACAGGCTTTAAAGACAAAACATCGAACATCAGGAGATTCAGGCTCTCATCATTAGAGTTGGCAGCACTGAAACAACACCCCTGCCCTCTTTCCTGGGAGGTATGCAGCTGGGACCTGCCTCTGAGAGATTTATTTCTTATAAACGTATTTGTGTCTTTTGAAGGTTTTAGGAAATAATTTATGCAAATACATTTTGGCCTTTTGGTTGCTGGCAAACTTCAGCTCTGGCTTCTAATAGTGCTCTTTGTGCTCTGTAATTGGTCAGCCACAATTTACGTTGTCATGTCTCCGTTCTCATTGGATGGTTCCCCAACCCACCAAGACTGCTCTGTAGGGCTATGTGAACTCTCGCTGCGGGCAGATGTGTGCGAGTGCTCACCCGCATGATCCACGTGCCCTGCTCCCGTTCTGACAGCCAGTGTGCTCTGAATCGCACTCTCGCCTGAATGCCCCTGGAGGGTGAATGAAAGGGCCTGGTGAACGCTGTCAAAACCCACGTGCGGCTTTAATTGAAGGGAAGCTCGCCGGCTCGTTTCTGCCGGGGTCCCCCAGGTCTCGTTAGGGTCTGCGCGGCCTGTCAGGCTGCAGTGCACTAAATTACCTTCCCATGGAGAGCTCGGGAGGTTTCTCAGAGAGCTACTGCATTTTAGGTGTGGGGTGGGGGGGAGGAAGCATGATCAGGCACTTATGGGGACTGGGAAAACAGGGCTCCCGGGTTTTGTTTCTAGCTTGGCTACAAACGCCTTGTGTGATGCTTCAAGTCAGTTCAACTCCTTGCGCCTTCTTCATGGGCCAAGCAGGGATGTCTCATTTGGTAGCGGCTGGGGGATTAGTTAATGCCTGTAAGAGGCTCTAAGACCCTTGGTGGCTGGAACTGCAAGGAATAATGCAGAGAGCCCCTTTGCACTGTGTGGTAGAGCCCCTTACCTGCATCCAAGGCAGAGACTGCCAGGTGTGCCACCGGTGCCATTGCTGTAAAGAATGCAAAGCCCACACACAGCCCTCGGGCTGGGGAGGAGTCCGCTGTGCTGACGCCAGGAAGAAGGGAATAGGCATGGATGTGATGGGAAGTTGCTTGCTTTCCTTGGAGAGCGGGCCCTGACTGTGTGAAGCAGGACTAAGAACTGGGCCTTGCCCTCATTCCCAAGCAGCTCAGAGAACTAGGTTGCTGTGACACTGTTGAGATGCCCATTGCTACGGGAGCACATCCCTTTAACTGCAGCCATGGCTGATGGGGCTCCATCAGTGGTTCTTTGTCTTTTTAGACCTGAGGCCCCTTGCAATAGGCCTGGCAGATGCAGCTCTTAGTTTTCACTCCACTTGTGACTACGGAAAAAAAGAATAGCGCAATTCCTTTGTTGCAAAGACCACTGCAGATCAGAATGTTTTTCTCGCTGTAGACTCCTAGTTGAAATCTGCTTTGATCATGGAAATCAGGTTTGCACAGTGCTATCATTGCACGGTACCTTTAGAAGGATCTCGAGGCATCCTGGTTGAAAATCACTGGGATAAATCTACCCCCACCATGAGCATCCTGTCCCGTAGCACTTTGATACGTGCAGCTCACGCCAGGTTGGCTTGACGAACCCACTGTGCGGATCGTTCTCTTTGGACAAGGCACCCAGGGGATGAAAGGACCTGCAGAACTATCTCATGATAGTGCTAGAAGATAACAGTAAAAGCCACCCGTTTTCTGTAGGCAAAGGCTATGGTCAGTGCTCCCCCTGCTGCCCTTTGTAGACCAGCCCTGGAAATCACTGAAGAGCGTGGCTTGTCTAATGGCTGCAAAGCCTCCTGGAATAGGCGGGTGACTCCGAGTGACCTGGCAGCCGTCTCTGCTGGCACCTCTGCTCTGATCCTATTACAGGGAGATTAAATGATAACGAGGAGGCCATTGCTTGGGCCGTTTCTCGCAGGCAGCTTGGTTGGAATATTGATTGCTGCAGCATGGACCATTGCCGGATGGAGGAGACAATGAGGATCTATTCTCATCCGGCGATTGAGTGTTACATTGGATGCCTGAGCCCTTCTGAGCAGGGGCAGGCAGATGAAATACGGAGGTAATTACTGAGCGTGCACCTGTCTGACTTTTTCATGTGCTTGGCAAGATGAGGCATCAGATGAGAGTGCGACGTGTTAGGTTAGGAGGCAGTGTGGGGTCACATGTCTCCCCCTCTCCAGCCAAAGGCACTCTCCTTGGCAGTCACACCGATGCAGCAAGGCCTGGATACACTGGAAAGGTCATTTCTATTGTGGTGGCTCTCCCTGCTGCAGGAGATGGTCGGTTCTGGCTCCATCCTTTAGGATATTAGGGATGTGACTGATCAGTGGAATGGGAGGAAACAGATTAAAGAGTTTAAAAGGTCAGTGATTAAACCAAGCATTAAAATTACAAG